TGAGATCGTGCCATTGCACTCCAGCCTGGGCAACAAGAGGATATTTCATTTAAAAAAAAAAAAAAAAAGAAAGAAAAGAAAGAAATCTAGCATGGTGGCTTACAAAGTGCTGTAATCCCAGCACTTTGGGAGGTGAGGCGGGCAGATCACCTGAGGTTGGGAGTTCGAGACCAACCTGGCCAATATGGAGAAATCTTGTCTCTACTTAAAGTACAAAAAGTTAGCAGGATGTGGTGACGCATGACTGTAATCCCAGCTACTTGGGAGGCTGAGGCAGGAGAATTGCTTGAACTTGGGAGGCGGAGGTTGCAGTGAGCTGAGATCACACCATTGCTCTCCAGACTGGGCAACAAGAATAAAACTCCGTCTCAAAAAAAAAAAAAAAAAAAAGTAGCCATAGATAAGGGGGAGGCTTCAGTGACTTCAAAGGAAGTAGTAATTACGTTTCTTGCACGATTTTTACCATTGTCATCTTTCAGATACGATCCATCTATAACTCATAGTTCAGCTGGTTCAGCATTATCTAGTGGAAGTTCTTGTAAATTTTTTTCAAGGAATCAAAAGATTGTCCATGTCAAACAGTCATGGAGAGCCAGGTGTGGTGGCTCATGACTGTAATCCCAGCACTTTGGGAGGCTGAGGCAGGCAGTTCAAGAGGTCAAGGAATGGGAACATCCTGGTCAACATGGTGAAACCCCGTCTTTACTAAAATTACAAAAAAATTAGGCAGGCGTAGTGGCGGCGCACACCTGTAGTCCTAGCTACTCAGGAGGCTGAGGCAGGAAAATCACTTGAACCTGGGAGACAGAGGTTGCAGTGAACCAAGATTGTGCCAGTGCACTCCAGCCTGGTGACAGAGCAAGACTCTGTCTCCAAAAAAAAAAGGCACCACAGGTGTAAATTACAGTGTAAAATTTACTATCAGATGGTATTGAGGTCAGCAAGGCATGTGGATTTGAAACTATGGGATGATGGCACAGAACAATATCATTTACGGCTGAGATTCTGAATAAATCTCCATCCTCGGTCATTTGGTTTCTTACTGGAACAGTGGGAGGATTACAGGGCTAGAAGGACAAAGAATTATTAAGCCTCCAGTTTTACATTTTTCAATGATGGGCTTTATGCCTTATAAGATTGACTCAAGCGATACTGTTTGGTATTAGGCAAGGGCTTGGAGAGGTTAATTTAGATCTTAATCTGGGGTGCACCATAAATCCTACTGACATCAGTTGACAGTGTGGCCCATGAGGAGACAGGTGTCTTCTTGTATTTTTTTTTTTTGGGGGGGGAATAAATAGGGAATTTTGGAAGTCAGCAGAGGTGACTGGCACATGGGACAGCATGACGAATAGGTGGAACATCATTGGTGGAGTGCAGTAAACTGTTAGGCTCATCAAACTCTAGAATTATTTCTCCCTTTTGGGAGAAGGAGATACCAACATGGCATTTCTCAAAAAAATTTGGTCTGACAAGGCAATTTGGGATGCCAAGGCTGGAGGATCACTTGAGCCCTAGAGTTTGAGGCCAGCCTAGAAAACATAGTGGGATTCTATCTCTACCAAAAAAAAAAAAAAAAAAAAGCTGGGTGTGGTGGCATGAACCTGCAGTCCCAGCTGCTTAGGAGGGTGAGGCAGAAGGATCGCTTGAGCCCAGGAGTTTGAAGGTTACAGGGGGCTATGATTATGCCACTGCACTCCAGCCTGGGTGAAAGAGTGACCCTGTCTCAAAAAAAAAAAAAAAGTCATCCTTGTTAATGAGCTGGAGGTGACTCCAGCAGGAAGAAAGGATGGGTGTCTTGTGTCCTGTAAAGGTCCAAGGTGGAAAGTAATAGGTTGCGACAGAAAGGATCACCTGAGGTCAGGAGTTTGAGACCAGCCTGACCAACACAGTGAAACCCCATCTTTACTAAAAATACAAAAATTAGCCGAGTTGGTGGCTTATGCCTGTAATCCCAGCTACTTGAGAGTCTGAGGCAGAAGAATTGCTTGAACCCAGGAGGCGGAGGTTGCAGTGAGCTGAGATCGTGCCATTGCACTCCAGCCTGGGCAACAAGAGTGAGACTCTGCCTCAAAAAAAAAAAAAAAAACCAAGAATTAGCTGGGTGTGGTGGTGCATACCCTAAATCCCAGCTACTCAGGAGGCTGAGAAAGGAGAATCACTTGAACTCGGGAGGCGGAGGTTGCACTGAGCTGAGGTTATGCCATTGTACTCCAGCCTGGGCAACAGAGTAAGACTCCATGTCAAAAACAAAACAAAACGAAAAAATGGCTACCAATGGTTTATTACAGACTCCAATAATTTGAATTGTATTACTCTGTGGCAGGGTCTGGTTGAGGTTGGGGGGCTTGAGCCCTGATAGCACTGCTTCTGTGTCTATGAGAACGGTTAGAACCTCATTGCCAATTTGAAGAACAGTCTCCCCCAGGTGACTAAGAGGGAAGATTGGAGGAAATAACGAAGTAAATCCTTGGAACCCCTTCATTGGAGGGAGAAATTGGAGGATCAGGTGAAGAAGACTAATTCATGTAAGTTTAGGACGATCCTTCTTCCAATGGCCTGGCTGTGTACAACAGTGACAATTTCCACGACACAGCCCTTGTCCTGTGCCATTAGATTAGAGCTGTACCATTTAGGTCCCAGTTGTTTGCTCTGGGAGAATTGATCTGTTGTAGCAGTTGAAGATTTAGAATTGTGGCAGCCTTCTTTTTTTGTTGTTGTTTTTTGATTCAAAATCTCACTCTGTTGCCCAGGCTGGAGTGCAATGGTGTGTTCTTGGCTCACTGCAACCCCCGCCTCCCAGCTTCAAGCGATTCTCCTGCCTCAGCCTCCTGAGTAGCTGGGACTACAGGCACACGCCACCACGCCCCGCTATTTTTTTTCTATTTTTTAGTAGAGACGGGGTTTCACCATGTTAGTCAGGCTGGTCTCAAACTCCTGACCTCATGATCTGCCCGCCTCAGCCTCCCAAAGTGCTGTGATTACAGGCGTGAGACACCACACCCGGCCCTTGCCATTTTTTTGCTTTTATTTTTTTGTTTGTCTCCATTAATTTAGAGACAGTATTTTATATATATATATATATATATTTTTTTTTTTTTCTTTTTAATTTTATAAAAATGTGTCATCCTTGCACAGGGGCCATGCTAATCTTCTCTGTATCCTTCCAATTTTAGTATATGTGCTGCCAAAGCAAGCGCTAGAGACAGTATTTTAAAGCGAGGCAAATTTTGATTTCTGACTGCATTTAGACACCTCAATGTGCCAATTAAGGTATGCATTCCATCCAGGCCGCTTAGTTTGAGAGCCATGGCTTCTAATTTATTCCTGAGATTAACTTAGAGAGGTCAAAAGAACCCTGCAGGAAGGCCACTGTAGTTCCAGGTCATCTTCAGCATATTTGGCCCGAGGAGATAAGAAAACCTGTGGTGATGGACAATAATGCTTAGGCATATAGCCAGCTGGAGTCCCCTTCGGGGGGCCTATCTTGGCAGGCTTTTGAATCTGAGAAGACACTGTGACCTGGGTTAATGCCAAATGCACAAAGCCAGTTAAATGCAAACACCCTGCACCTGAAGGCCCAATTAAAACATAAGCGCCTTTGGAAAGTAATGTATTTACCTGGAAGGATAAGTCTTCTTCAAATGAGAGGAAAAATCTCCTCCTCCAAACCTGGAGGTCCAAACCTTGCAGCGAGGCCAATAGGAGGAAAATAACCCTCCCCACGTGGTATCTCCAAAACAGAAGATACACATTCCAAAGAAAACAGAACTCAAACCTAATCCCATCCACATGCCAAAGAAAACAGAACTCAAACCAAATCCTGAAGTTCTGTCCAAGAGACTCCCAGGGCTGGGGGCAAGGAAGTGGGGCAGGGTCTTTAACGGGCCTGCTGTGGGTACCTTACACCATAATTCCAAGCTGAGGTGACTCAGCTTTGGGCCCACTTCTGACACCTCGTCTGCTGAAGTAAAAATACAAATGTACAGCTGGGCGGGGTGGCTCAGGCCTGCCATCTCAGCACTTCGGGAGGCCTAGTTGGGCAGATACCTTGAGCTCAGGAGTTTGAGACCAGCCAGGGCAACACGGTGAAACCCTGTGTCTCTACAAAAAGTACAAAAAATTAGCCAGATGTGGTGGCGTGTACCTGTGGTCCCAGCTACTTGGGAGGCTGACATGGGAGGATCACTTGGGCCCAGAAGGTGGAGGCAGCAGCTCCGTGATCTCACCACTCGATCTCACTCCTGGGCAACAGAATGAGACTTTGTCTTAAAAAGAAAAAACGAATATAAAGACAAATCTCTAAATATAATGTTTTCTTTGGAAGAAAGAATTGCAATTCAAGAGGTGGGTGCAGTGACTCATGCCTGTAATCCCTGCACTTTGGGAGCCTGAACGGGGCAGATCACTTGAGGCCAGGAGTTTGAAACCAGCCTGGCCAACATGGAAAATACCCATCTCTACTAAAAATACAAAAATTAGCTAGGCATGGTGGCATGCCCATGTAGTCCCAGTTACTTGGGAGGCTGAGGCATGAGAATCACTTGAGCCTGGGAGGTAGAGGTTGCAGTGAGATGAGATCACACTACTGCACTCCAGCCTGGGCGACAGTGAGACTCTGTCTTAAAAATAAAATAAAAAAGAATTGCAATTCAGGGCATACATGCAGACTGGGTGGTCTCCAGAACAAGAGAAGGTTGGTAATTTTATGAAAAGGAAGAATGTTACATGTGGTGTTAGTAAGGCTTTGGGGAGGTGGCAAGCTTTGATTGGTGGGTGACACAGTGGGCAAAATTAGCCCTCGAGTGGCACCAAGTTATCTTGGTAGCTATAGATAAAACTGGTTTCAGGTTACAACAGGCAGTTTCAGCAGCTGGACTTGCAAAGATAGCTACATTTCTAGAGCAATGTTGTGTGCCCTGAGTCCTTCTCCTGGCCCCTCTACTCTGATTTAGGTGGGTATGACAAGGATGACCCAGTTCATACGATCAACTTTTACAGGTGTGTGTGTCAGGGGAGACAAAGAGATGAAACCAAAATGCATAAAACAGAAGAAATGCATTACTCACACGTCCCAGAGAGGTTAGGGGTGCCCGTGGGAAGTTGATGGGAAGTCTGGAGGCAGCAGGGAGATTGGCCAGTGGGTAGGGGGACAAATGAGAGAGAGGGGGAAACAGAACCTGTGGGCCTATGCCGGTATTACCTTAGGCTTTCCTGTGGTGGTTGTGGATGAGCTATTTTAAAGAAAACACACTTAAAGGGGAAATTTTTCTTTTAGAGGGAGTTTTGCTCGTTTCCCAGGCTGGAGTGCAATGACACAACCTTGGCTCACTGCAACCTTCACCTCCTGGGTTCAAGCAATTCTCCTGCCTCAGCCTCCTGAGTAGATGGGATCACAGGCATGCGCCACCACGCCCAGCTAATTTTTGTATTTTTAGTAGAGACAGGGTTTCTCCATGTTGGTCAGGCTGGTCTCGAACTCCTGACCTCAGGTTATCAGCCCACTTCAGCCTCCCAAAGTGCTTGGGATCACAGGCATGATCCACCACGCCCGGCTAAAGGGGGAACTTCTTTACATGACTCTGATGTTGGCCATCCCATAGGGCCATGGTCAGCCACTGTAGGATGTTGTTGGGTTTTGGGTTGGTGAGATGAGGAACAGGTGGGCTAAACTACAAGCCACAAGGGGAAGGGGACGTTTTAACGAGGCCAAGGTGATGAGGTTTTCACTGGGTTTCAAACAATGTATGTCAGGCCTACATATGCATGCCAAGGCAGCAAGTATATTGTAACACAGTTATGACAGGCATGCAGAGGAACTAGAGAATGGGTAACGCAGAGTGAAAATACTCCCTCACTGGTTCTGCTGAGGGCCACCAAGTTCTGAAGCTGGAGAACTAGGGGTCAGGCAGCCCACGGCAGGCACAGCCCAGCCAACCCTCAGCCAGTTCAAGATACTGATGCTGTTGTGAGACGCAGCAGGGCTCTAAAGGAGGCTGGCAAGGTGGGGAATCTGCCAGCGGTTGCTGCCAAGTTGCAGGCCACGCTTGGTTCACTGGAGAATGTCAGGCTGCACATTGGCATTACCAAGGGCAGAGGCTCAGGCAAGTTGACCTGTCAACACTATGAGAGGCTACGAAATGAAGACCCCAACTCAGCCTGCAGGGCTGTGACAGAAATGGCTGTGGACCCTACGCCCTACCGGCACCCATGGTCATCATCAGACCTGCCAGCCACAGGCACGCCCACTTTCCAGGCTGACAAGTACCTCCAGCAGCTGCTGCTGGACCGTTGCCACCTCATTATCATCGCATCAGAGCATTGCACCGGCAGCCATGCCCAGCTGGGTGGCAAGATCCTGCAGAGGAAGGCGTTTCTCCTTCCTCTGCTCCAAGATGGACGTGGAGTTTGCCACCCCTGCAGCTGCCACCCCAGCACCTTCTCTGAGGAGAGTGAGCTCAGCCGCATCCTGATGGCTGTCAGCAGTAATTGGAGGGTCAGGCACAGGGTCTGGGGACTGGTGGCAGAGGAGGAGGGCCTGGACCCTTGAAAGACTGCCACCCTTTCCTTATCTTCCAGCAGAGGCCCAGACTGGGAAAAAGGGTCACCCCACGTACCACCATGTGACTGAACTAGACTCTGCAGTGAAATAAAGCTTTCAGCTGCCATTCCCTAAGAGCCAGCACTTCTGTCACTGGTGACAGAGACCAATCACTTGCATTAAGGAGAAAAAAGAAGCCGGGTGTGGTGGCTCACACCTGTGATCCCAGCACTTTGGGAGGCTGAGGCAGGCAGATCACCTGAGTTCGGGAGTTTGAGATTAGCCTGACCAACATGGAGAAACCCCATCTTTACTAAAAATACACAAAGTAGGCTGGGCTAGGTGGCTCACGCCTGTAATCCCAGCACTTTGGGAGGCCGAGGTGGGTAGATCACAAGGTGAAGAGATCAAGACCATCCTGGCCAACATGATGAAACCCTGTCTCTATTTAAAAAAAAAAAAAAGAAAGAAAGAAAAGAAAAAATAAAAATACACAAAGTAGCCAGGCGTGGTGGTGCGTGCTTGTAATCCCAGCTATTCGGGAGGCTGACGCAGGAGAACCGCTTGAACCTGGGAAGCAGAGGTTGCGGTGAGCTGAGATCGTGCCATTGCACTCCAGCCTGGGTAACAAGAGTGAAACTCAGTCTCAAAAAAAAAAAAAAAAAAGGAGAAAAAGAGTATGTATTGGCTCATGTATTTGCAAAGATAGAGGACTGCAAATGCTGTATGCCCAGTGCAGACCTGGCACCTGTGGATGACGGTGGCATCTAACATTTACTGAGCTCAGCATAGGTCAGGCACTGATATGGTTTGGATCTGTGTCCCCATCAGATCTCATGTCAAATTGTAGTTCCCAGTGTGGGACACATGTGTGGCCTGGTGGGAGGAGACTGGATCATGGGGGCGGTTTCTCAGGAATGGTTTAGCACCGGCCCCTTGGTACTGTCCTCATGATGGTGAATTTGTTCTGTGAGATCTGGTCGTTTAAAAGTATACGGTACCTGCCCCTCCCTCTTGCTCCTGCTGTGGTGTATGAAGCGCCTGCTCCCACTTTGCCTTCTGCCATGATTGTAAGTTTCCTAAGGCCTCCCTAGAAGCCAAGCAGATGCCAGCACCATGCTGCTGGTACAGCCTGCAGAACTGTGAGCCAATTAAACCCCTTTTCTTTATACATTACCGAGTCTCAGGTATTTCTTTACAGCAATGCAAGAACAAACTAAAACAGACACCATTATCATGAACTCATTAATCACCACAACACCCCGAGGAGGTAGATACAATCATCACTTTATTTTGCAGACGAAACAGATGCCCAGCAAGCTTTGGCAACTTGTCCAATGCCACACAGGTGGTAGATGGCAAAGCTGGGATCTGCACATAGGCACCCTGGCTGCAGGGCTGACATTCTTAAGCCAAGTGCAGTGCTCATGACAGGCGCTTGAGCCCAGGCAGCTGTCAGCACAACACGGCCTGCTCCAGTGTAGAAACAGACTGAGTGGTGCTCCAGTGGGGGGTGGGAAGGATATCGATGTATTCCTGTGTCTGAACGGAAAAGGGTGACTTCTACCTGCTTGGAGGTAGTGAGGGGATGATAGTGAGGGGACTGGAGAGCCCCAAGTGACAGGCATTCCTGGTGGCCAGGCCCATCTTGCAGCCCAT